GGTCGCTGCCCCCCCCCTCCGTGTCCCCCCCCGCACCAGGTACAGTGCTACCACACCTGGTTGACCCCAGGATTCATCGCAGGGAGCTTGGGAGCAGAGAAACTGAGGCAGCCCTGGGCACGTTGCATGGAGAGATGAGGCATCGCAAGTGCCCCCTGCAACTTGGGGGGTCACTGGACGGAAATCCCACAGCACCGAGGAAAGGGGAATGGGAAGCGTCCCCTGTGCCAGTTTGGGAGGCTGAGGGGCCAGCAGTGTGGGATGTGTGAGGGCAGCACGACTGGTGCCCCAGGCTCGGTGACAGGCAGCGGGGAGACTCCGGGATGATGGTGGGCACCTTCCTGGGGTGATTCGTGGGGCTCTGCCAGCAGCTGAGCGACCTGCATGACCAGCAGCGAAGCCATGGACACCCTGGGACAGTACAAGATCACGGTGTGGGAGGAGGAGAGCTTCCAGGGCAAGCGCTGCGAGTTCCTCATGGAGTGCCCCAGCATCATGGAGCGCGGCTTCCGCAAGATCCGCTCCATCAAGGTGGAGTCCGGCCCGTAAGTGCCCCGCCGGCCCCGCGAACCCAGTGCTCCCAGGGGACTGTCAGGAGCTGCCTGGGAGCCAGGACACCCGGGTCCTTCCTCAGCTCCGACACAGCCTCATCGTGCGACCTCCCTCCCCGTGCTCCTTGTACGGTGCCTCAGTTTCCCCATCTGCAAAGCCGAGGTGCGGGTTGGAGGCGACGGTGTGGCCCTGGGCTGAGGGGTCCCCGCTCTCAAATGGGACATTTGCTGCTAGAAAGGACCCCAACCTCTGTGACAGATCCATACCCTGCCAGGACATCTCCATCCCCTTTGTGGGGGAGAAGCCGGTCCTGGGCTGCGCCCCGAGGGCTGTGCTGTGCATCCCTGAGGGCTTTCCTCCTCTCCCCTCCAGCTGGGTGGGCTTCGAGTACCCTGAGTACCAGGGGCAGCAGTTTATCCTGGAGAAGGGTGATTATCCCCGGTGGGAGGCCTGGAGCGGGAACAGCGGCTACCGGACCGAACACCTCCTCTCCTTCCGGCCCGTCAAGTGTGCGGTGAGTTACGGGGACCACACTGCAGGCAGAGCCTCCCCCCCGGCAGCCCAGCACAGACCGGAGAGCGGGACAGAGGGTGGATGAGGGACAGACAGGAGGACGGGTTACATGGGATGTGGGATGGAGGGGTAAGGCATGCACGGAGGTGCCATGGGGTGGAGGGATAGCAGCACCCACCAGCTCCCACCTCCCTGCGAGGATCCTGGGATGCTTTTTAGGCTTAAAATTTAGCCTGAAACACTGTCCCAGCTCCTTCTGCTTTGTGCGTTGGAGAGCCGCCTCCCAGGCTGGGCTCCCCAGGCCTTGTGGCCCCCCCACCCCTCGCCCGGATACCCAGGGATGGGGTGAGCTGAGAGGAGCTGGCAGGACCGCAGGGATGCTTGGGGTGCGGGGTCTGTCCCCCTCCCGCCTGGAGTACCCGAGCAGTGCCCAGGCAGATGCAGCCTCCATCGCTCCA